CTCACGTAACGTTACGGCACGCAAAGAATTCCGAGCCGCGTTTCGTGCCTCTGAAACAGTGAAATGTTTTTAGGTCGTGCTTCAATCGTTAACAAACACCTTCTGTATTTCCTCCGAAACCTATATTTATTTTTAGAAAAAGAACAAATTCCTTCGTACGAAATTACTTACGAACCAGATAAGTTACTGTTACAATTTCGTTCTAAAATTTATAATCAAAATCTGAAATCTATTTCTATTCTCAGAGGAAGACGATCGAGACCGCGTTTTCGCTCTCACTTTTTTCGTGACTTATCAGGAAGATCGTGTTCGTCGGAGCGCGTGTAACGCTATTATCAGGATCTAGATAAGCGGTCGAAGAGCGACGGTGGATCGTAGGAAACAGGAGGCTAGGGTTATCAAGCGAGATCGTGAATAACGAGGCCCACTTTACTCGATAGACTGATTTCCCTTCGCAAAGTCCCGCGTTCCAGATACGCTATACCTAACTTTTAACCAGCCTATGTAACGGGCCTGGTGCTGTTACATGCTCTATTATTAGTTTCAGTTGCCTCCATCGTGCCAGGGGGTCGTGGAAATATTTTCGACCTTTCCATCTCCACCTCCTACCAATTCATTTTTAATCCCCATTCGAGGCAGCCTAGACAAGATTCTATTATTTCATTTATAATAATATCGAAAGACACGTACAGAAAATAAAAATTTCGTTTTTGGAATGGTATTTTATCGGTCCATCTTGTATTGTGGTTTAAATTCGATTTACCTACTTCTCCGTCTGCCTCTGAATATGTTGGTCGCTCGATGCGTTTTCAGGTCACCTAGGAACCTCGAAATACACCTGTTCCGCGAATCGAACGCGTAAATATTGATGCCGAACGTTTAAATAAATCATATTTCCTGAAAATATCGAGTTTTCGAGATCCTAGCTGAAGAGGAAAAATTCTGAAATTTCTGGAATCAAGTTTAATAGAGGCGTAAGAAGAAGCTCGACGTTTTCATTTACCATTTCTGGAACGTAACCGTGGAATGATTTAAGGCACGCGCGATCCTGTTATCGATCTCATTCCCGCTTATCAAGATCGAGTAATGTTCCTCATTTTCCCTAATGGTTTTCCTCGTTTCGAAGAAATTATTGCTATGCTATCGATCACTGCTAATGGGGTCGGTTATCAAGAATTTCGTGAAAATTGGTCAAGCAGTTGATTTCTAAATCAGGAACAGAGAGAACTTAAATTTTTACCTAGGTGTTAACAGAGCATTAATTTTAATTAATTAAGTCAGAAATTCTTTCCAGTCCATTGGGAATTTTTCCGAACCCCCGATAGTCCACGAAGAACATAATTATTGAAATTGAAATTTCGATTTTATCGAGAGTGAGGCGGAGAGAATGCGCGTTATCCAACGATTATGCAATATTGTGCAGTACAACAGAGAGTTGGCATGATTTCTATAAATATTCAGAGGCTCGACGTGCCACGGATTTTAATTTATGCGACCTCGAATGCACGGGGGCCAAGACGAGGCAGCAGGTACACTTAGCGTGCACGTGCAAAAGTAGGTAAATCAAATTTAAGGCGGGAGGATACACAGGGTCGGAGAAATCTGCCGTTCTGGGTCATCGTTCAGCCTCTCCTTTCGATTCGATCGATCATCTACTCGGAAAAAAAAGGAAAGATCAGAATAGCGGAAGTTACCTATTGTTGCAAGCTCCTCGATCAACAATCGCGAAATGCATTTTTCTTCCTCAAAAGTGCATCTCTGTCTGCTGCACTTTCTGCAGTCTCGTTTCTGTTTCTTGAATGCTTGAAAACGCGAATGAAACGTGCGAGAGAAAGACGAAGGAGAAGAGCGAGTCTGGTGGCTGAAAATTAGTGGTGGTTTCACGAGGGGGTGTGTCTGCGCTCTTTCAACCCCTTTGAATCGTTCCTGTTTACCCATGTAAACGTTTCGCCGCCAGGGAAAAAGAGCCGGTACACACGAATCTCGTTAATGTTACATTGAACCTCGAGCAGCTTTTTCCTACTACCTAGTAATTACATTGAACGTTCGTTAACGACGATGCTCATAATTGAGGATCAACGTGAACCGGTGTCTGTCTGGGAATTAATGAATACAAATTGGACGGGGGAATTTTTGGAAGAACCTTCCTCGTTTCGAAACGATCCTGATGGATTCCATCAGGGTGCATCGGAAATTTACATTGCTGAATGTGTGAATTATTCGTTGATAGAATTGGATTTATTTTATTTGGAAATTTGGAGTTTACTTGAATTAAGTTAATTGGAAACATATTCGTGAGAAAAATGAGAAATACAAAATATTGGCAGCGATATCTGTAAACTGCATCTGATGCATGTGCATCTGCATTGGCTCGCATCCCGACCCACTTTTATCTTCTTTTTTTTTCTGGACCAGTCTGCGGCACCTGCCAGCAACATTTTCTCATTTTTTTTTCTTTTCGTGTTAAGAACATAATCTGTTCTCGTTGGTGTCCTTTGGTATTTCTTTCTAGAAACGAACACATCCTCTTACTGTAGATTTATGTTAAAAATCGTACGAAAGGGCTGTGATAAAAATAATTGTCTGCTGTTTGTTCGTGGTTTATTAACTCGGCTTTACCTTTCTGTGACTCGTGTACTTTGAGAACCAAGAAGCCTTAAATTCACTTCAGCACGTACGGATTACGAGTTTCGTCTAGTCTAGACAGTCGAGGCGAGGAATTTAAGAGTCATTGGAAGGAGTGCCGGCTAACACCAAGTGTCGTTTTACGCGTCTTTCAAACACACCTTTCCTGGAAAAATATTACTAGTATAATAAAACAGCGGATAAAGCGATTTTTTAGCAAAATTATTCAAACAATCACGAGGGCGGCGAAGGGCGGACCACGGAGAGAGACCCAATTTCAATTCAATTTTTTTTCTATTTCATATTATTTTCATTTTCTAAATTATTTTTCCAATATATGAAACTCTTTTAAAAATTAATAATTCGAGAACTATAGAGTAATGAATTAATAAAATGAATCAATTATCTACCTGAAAATTGAATATTTTCAACTTTGATCTCTTCCTGGTTATTTTTCAACGAGTCAGGTTACTGTCATAGAAAAAAGAAATTGCATGACTCTAAAATTATACATATGAAGATACCCGCAATTAAATGAGTAAATAACCGAGAATGACTGGTGATTGCGTTGAATTAGTTAGGAAGTAAGAAGAAAAGTGGCAAGTTGCGTCATTAGAGAAAATGAAGGTACGGAGAACAATGGCCGAGAAGATGAGCGAAAGAAGAAGAAAAGAAGAGGAAATAATTCGAGCGATACTCGGTGATAGCGACTATTATCAGTCGTGATTAGCTATCGATAAATATCTACGTTCGCTTGTTCGGAAGGAGGCTAATAATCGTTTCGAATATCATTCGAAATTAGAAAGATATTGAAAATTCGCAAAGAGAAAGATGGTATATTCGCATTTATATCCGGAAATCGAAAGATTGAATCGATGCGAACGCGGAAGTTATAGCCGCGTGACGGAAATAAGAATAAAGGATTCACCTAACTCGATGAAAAACCCTGCGCTAGACACCGGAAGACCGGTACAATAGACCGGAAGAAGCTGACAGAACGTGCTGTATTTTATATGTATCTAAAAGGCTGTTTTCATCTATTGTGATCAATACGTAAACATTTCTATATAACAATGAATTACAGTATTTTCAGCAGTTTCTAAAAAATAACAATGACCCACCTTAATTGCCAAATCCCAATTACCCAAAATAACAATTAATCTCATTTATCAAATTATTGCCATCAAGATGAACGTAATTTTAATTCAATTTTCTATTTCATATTTTCATTTTCTAAATTATATTTTCATTTTTTAAATTGTACATTCTTTTAAAAAATATTCTTCCAATATATGAAATTCTTTTGTTTAAAAATTAATAATTTAAGGACTATAGAATAATAAATTAATAAGATCAATCAAGTATATCAAAATTAAGCGTAATCTTTCCCTGATTTTTCTCCAGTTCGTGTAACTAGAAATGGACACAGGATCAATTGGGGTCCCGTATCAACGTGTAGCATGCATGCAACACGTTTAATAGTTGAAAAATAGAACTGCATAATCCGTAACCGTTGTTATCCATAAAGTTAGCCGATCTGGAAAGAGATTAATCGTGGCTCGTAGAACTGGAATACATATTCAGTCGTCAGATTTGCATGTACACCGGTTAAACTTGTGCTGTTTATTGCCAAGGTTAATGTTCTCCTTCCGTTCTGTTCTTTTCATCGCCAGAAAATATTTCCTCTAAGTTCAACCGTTAATTAACGCTTCTGCAAAAATATTTCTAATAATATTCGAATTTTCCTTTTAGTCGAACACGAAGTTTCCTACCTGTTGGGCAATCTCCGAACAATCCTTTTGTGAGCATCACGAATCGGGGAGTTTTAGAATTGCTTTATGATGGGCTTAGGGAGCTCACCTGGCCATTTCGGCCTCGCTCCCCGGAGAGCCGAGGAAAGAATTCTCTTTGTGAACCATTTAGAGAAGTCCTTCGACTCGACTTTTTCTCGACTGGCGACGAGAGACGCGACTTTTCGCGCTGATACCATCAACGAAAGAAGATATTAATAGGTTACATTAATATCTTCCAAGTTATTTTCGAATCACAAATAGAAGAATCTCACTGGTAGAAGATCATTTATATAATTAATATACTCGTTCGATCAACCAGTTGAAGAATTTTTCATCTTCCCCTTTAATCTCGAACGGAATTGTTCAAAAATTAGTAACACAGGATTCTCGAAGGTGCATCAAACGAATTCGAGTATCTAAAATTGGTAACTTTCGATTTCAATTACGTTCGCGTGCAAAAGAGGGCGGTGAAACATTGCTCGAATAATCGCGACACGTTCGTTCGGGGATAAATGAAAGAGACAAGTCGAAAAGAATCGAGCAGAGGCAGCATCGCTAACGCGTTTCTCCTTTCATTTTCAGCCTGTGCGGTAGTGATCGTGGCCTCGAAGCGAGTCCTTTTACGGCGGGGACGAGCATCGAAAGCGGTGACCCTCCTTCGCCATCCTCGACTTTGGCCCGCGGACACGAAAGGCGACCACCGCCTAGGGAGCAACGGGGAACGACCACGAAGAGGGAAAAACGAATAGAACGAGATCCGAAGGAGAAACGTCGAAAACTAGACGCTAGCCACCAGGTATCGAGCGCGATGAAATAAACGAGATGCCGGAGAGAACATGGTACTTGGAAGAATACTCAAACGAGAAACCTCTCTAGGGTGATAAAATAGAAAAATACCGCGTGAATGACGAATGAATTCAGAAGATTTCAGGAGAAAGAGGTAAAGAAGAAAATATCCAGAACAGTGTGGTAAGGTGTTTCTACATTCCCGCTGAGGAATAAAGAAGCTAAATGCCAGATAAAAGAAGGATAACAGAGAAGAAGAAAAAGGAAGGATAAAGCGGCGGGTGTCTCGAGCGAAGGAAGCTGCTGTGAAGGAAAGGAATGGGTGCCGGGATGGGCAGGAGCGGCACGAGCGGCGGCTTCCTCGAGGCACTTCCTACGGGAACGCCGCTCCACGTGGCTATGCTTGGCCTGGACAGTGCTGGCAAGACCACCGCGTTGTACAGATTAAAGTTCGATCAGTATCTCAACACTGTGCCCACCATAGGCTTCAACTGCGAGAGAATCCGCGGTGGCATCGGAAAAGCGAAAGGTAAATGGAATTCTTCGTTTACTAACGCGATAGCCGTCGTACCCACGGTAATGGAAAACCGTCGAACTATCGTTCTAACGTATAATCCCTGAATATCTGGAACGTAACAAATGACCCTGGCACGAATCTCACAGTTATCACGATGATTTTGGTACCGCGTGTAATAGAGCTGAAATTATCGCACGCAATGACGGGTTCGACGTGGTCGTAACATGCAAATAACAGTAACTGGACACGTAATAGTTACACGGTTAGGATAAGCCCCACGAAAACGACTTATTACAGTTATCGCGACGGGGAAATGTGTCGGCGCCAGTTTCCTCTTGGTACCGAATAGATCTCTCGACGTCCCAGAAACCTGGTAGCATCGATCGACCGAAGGAATTGCAACGTTTAGCCTCTTTTTATCCTTTTTCTACGTTATCCTGTACAATCTACTTTCTTTGAAATACAGATTGCACGGTGAAAGATTTCTTATCGTTTCCTGGGAGCTTGAGAGGTGTCCTAGTTCTAACAAAGAATCAACGATTTTCTGTTAACGATATTAACGAAACGTTTAGGTGGTCTTTTTTATTGAACATTCAGCTTGAAATTGACGTGCCATAAGTGCTGCTCCGTGATACTTTTATGTCATGAAATGGTTTTAGAAAGGATCAGGGAATAAAATAGATTTCCGTGATGATTTGTTTCAGGTGTAAATTTCCTCGTATGGGATGTGGGCGGGCAAGAGAAATTGCGACCATTATGGAAGTCGTACACCCGTTGCACCGATGGTATTATCTTCGTGGTCGACTCCTGCGACGCGGAACGGCTCGAAGAGGCGAAGATGGAGCTGACCAGGACGGCCAGGAGCCCGGACAACGCTGGAGTACCTATTTTGATCCTGGCGAACAAACAGGATCTGCCAGGTAAGAAGGTTTTATCCGTCTACCTATAAAACGCGTCGTCGGATATTGTTTAAACCTTGACGTGAATTTATATTCATTCAGCTCGTTTTGTTTTGAAACGGTACGAGAAAACTGGGTCAGATCTCGAGTTGTATTTTTAAACTGTATCTCTTGTAACACGCGGTACATCATCGGGATGGTAAAAAGAAAATAGGATCTTTTTTTAATTCTTAAGTGGATGGGAACAAGTGGTCGATGGAACATCGTTATATCGATTCAAAACGTATGGTTTCACTTCTGAAGACCATGAAGTGTATGTATGAATACACTTGACTGCAATTTATCGAGCTTATTTAGATTATGTATTACGGTTCATCTAACATAACAGTATCGGATGCTCTTAATGCTTAACAGTGTAAATTTGTTATCTTCGATTAAGCCGATGTAATCCAGGATCAAGGGAATCCTTATTAAGAAGACTCCTCTCCAGTTACAATGTTCCTATGAATCCAGAAATATCCATCGAGTAAAATATCAAGACAGCTACTTGAATACTGTTCGTCAAGTCATCCTGAACCAAGATCCTGAGTACATTCAAAGGATACAAGTCCGGACCATATTCACCAACGTCCAAGCTGAAACAGAACCAATGAGAACCTAAAAACATCAATCACGTTTGCCATCCTGAATCAAAATCATCAGTCCAAAGGACCTAATCCACCATCTAGGACCTCCTAGTTCATTCAAGACACCTCCCAGTGGATCCCAACTGACCAGACGATATTCAAATTGCTGTCCACAGGTGCTAAAGAAGTTGGCGAGCTAGAGAAACACCTGGGCGTTCTTGAACTGGCAGGAATGCCAGGTAGCGCGTGCATCAGAGTGCAACCAGCGTGCGCCATCACCGGCGAGGGTCTCCACGAGGGTCTGGACACGTTGTATCAGCTGATACTGAAGCGGCGTAAGCTGGCGAAGCTGAACAGGAAACGGGCCAGGTAGGCCAGGGCTTCGGAGGACTGCACTTGCGTCTTCTGATATTGTAAGTCGCGGACAGTCTCTCCTTTGGACACAGCCACGCCTTCCACGGTGTCTTCTTCCTCGTCCTCTTCGTCCTGCTGCGACAGTCGCATCCACGAGGCGTTCCAGTGAACTGCTGCGCTCTGTATCGTTCACATGGACTATTCCGTTTGACGAGATCGTTCTTAAACCAGTCTCGAAGCTGCAAGCTGATAATCAAGCTCGTTTTTTCGAAGAGAGGAGTTTGAAGACAGCTTGTACGTTTGGAGGAGAGGTAGGAGGCTTTCTGTAGGTTCTAGAAATGATTCTGGACCTGCTGGCTATTTTCCTGGAAATTTAAAAAAGGCGCAAGAAGCCTGTATTCTGTGAAGAAAGTTCAAGAACTGGTAGTTATTGCAAGGATACAAGGAACAGAGGGTATAGATGTTACTCTACACCTAATGGCTACTTTTTGTCAAACTAAATGGGTGCAAGACTATAGAAGAAGCTTGAAAACCGATAGTTATCGCAGGGATATGAACAACAGAGGGTCTAGATCTCATTTTACACTTACTGGCTGCTTTTTATCAATCGGAATGGGTGTAAGAGCCTATCCTCCTTTGGAAAGGAAGGTCAAAAATGATAGTAAGGATATCTAGACCTCTTTTATGGCTATTCTCTGAAAGGCTGCAAACGAGCCTGTCCTCTGAAAATGAAGTTCAAGGATCGTAGGATAATAAATGTAAGGATTTAAACAATTTTGCTACAACAACTTGAGAATAATTCCTTTGAAACTCGATTGCTGACCGGACGACAACGAAACAAAGTGCTTCTTCACTGTTCTATAGAAGCTCTATTTTGCCAAAATTTCTCCATCGCGAGACGTTCCTTGGGAAACTTTTTTAACGACGAAACCGACGAGTTTTATTGGCTTTGTTGTCGATAACGAGCTCGGTTTCGAGGTACCAGAGGCTGGAAACGTGTATTTTGTTTTTCGTGGAAGAGGTCAATAAGGAGTCGCGATAACGAGGGATCATCGACGGCTTCGTTGTTGATAACGATGACGTTGGATTGTATTAATAACGCTGACGCGGGTCCAGTTTAGACGGACCAAGATACCGGATGATTGTTAACCCTTTGCACTCCACTTTTTTACTCCATTTACTTTGTTACTAATTATGATCCATTCTTATCTCTTTAAACTATATACACATTCATTATTTCAATAATGAAATTTACTGTATCTTTTTTTACAGTAGTCAGAATTGATTGAATTGATTAAAATCAGAATGGTAATAATTAGGATATACATATAATTATTACGTCTGGGATATATTATTTGGGGTGCAAAGAGTTAAACGTTAGACTGCTGCATAAGTTCTATCTATACAAATTTTCCAGTGTTACCATTTGGGTAATAGACGTATATTTTTTAATATAATGGAACTAGATAAACGAGTGTATAGTGGACGTTTTTATATTTAGTTGATACATTGAATAGTAAATGTTATACTAAATTTTAAGACGAAAGACACTTACGATAAACGGAACTTATGCATCAGTTTAATGAGAATGACACACTGATAGTCCAGATGGAAGAAGAAAGAACCATAGACCTATTTAAATCCTCCAAAATAGTCCGAAGATAACAGTTCACTGACGGGCTCAACTTTTTCAAGTCACGATAAGATCAAAGACTTTGTATTTGTAGAGAACTCTGAATCGATACTATTATCGAAGCAGCGAGTAGATCAACGGATCGTGATTATCAGTTTATCGTAGACGACAAATAGAGGTGAATCGCGGACCCTAGGCGTTCCGATAATGACCGTGCCTCTCCAATTTTTTGCACCTTTATACAAGAGGGAGAAAATGATAAACGATGCGTGAACATGGCTTCTTCCTGACGGACGAAATTTTTTGTAAAAAAAAAAAACGAAAAGCTACAAAAAAAGGAACATAGAACGATGTGATAAAAACCCTTTCCCATTTTTCCCAAATATTTAGTACCATTTTACGTGTGTATCGTATTTGCTGTATCGTGCTAAATGGAAGAAGAAATTCGATGGAATAAAACGAATCGATCGTTTTGAGCTTGATCGAAAAAAAAAAAAAAAAAAACATATCTCGTGAAAGTTCAATGGTGCTGATATGTATATCTTTTTTTCATTAGCATTAGAATTCATTTGTTTGTTGAAGTTTGATTATCGATTAAGGTGTTGAATATTTTTGCAACATTTAGAGAATCGTTTTTTAGGAAGATGCTTTTTAGGCTGATAGGGTTCGAAGTGTTCTTTTGAAAGATTGCGCTCAGGTTTTATTGGGAATTTGTGGAGCTCAAAACGATGGGTTGTTTTCTTGCCAGTGTGTTTTATCTTTGTCGAGATCCCTTCGACGCATGCACTTCCGGTGCAGGCAATTCTTATCGACATGATGTGTTATGGAGTACCTGTGAATTTTCCATTATTTCAACTTATAATTGCAAATATTTGATTTGCATTTCTTCATAATTCCTGTGTTAATTAATCAGCGATTAACAAGAATCGCTATCAGTTACTGTAATATTCCTGGAATCATCGTGATAAATAAAATAAATAACGATGTTCTTTCAAAAATCTTAAATAATTACAGATGATTCGATAACTGCTAATTGAACACACGCACAAAAGATAGCACAATTCTTCTTTCTTTTGCAAAGTATCGTGTCTAATTATGGTGATAAGAATTGCTTCATCTGAAATGAATGTTGTTATTGGATCTGAAATTGCAGTAGATGAACATCATCTTAAAGGAGCGATTTTATTCGGTGTTCTCGTGGCTCTCCCTTCTTTCTTTCTACGTATTTTATTATGATTTCTTTAAACACTACAGTTCTTCCATATTTGCCAGTTCTTCCCGTTTGAAAAAAGTCCCCTTCGCAAAGAAGAAATTAAAAGGGGCAGATCTTTTGGGAAAGGAGAATCAACTTGGGAATGAAGAGAGGAAATGAAACGTCGGATGAGACAATTTTACTCGTTATTTATCGCACTGCATTGATCGATATTAAACCGAGAAACGAGGGGCAAGGCGAGACCGGAAACCGCGGTTTGCGGTGAATGATACACGCGGCACATTTGTTATCCGGAACAACGACCTTCCCTGGCGGAAGTGAATGCAAAATCGGAAGTGTTCTTCGCGAAAATGAAGACTGACTGTAACTGCCTTCGAAAGATAATTTCCAGTTCAATATTACATGAAAATGGGACAAAAAGAAAAGAAATGAAATTAAAAAAGTGCAATTGCAAGTTTCTTATTTCTGTTATAAACCTCAGGAAACTTCCCTTTTCTCATTTTTATCTAAAAATGGAATTACATTTATCCATCCCTCGTTTCCACTAAATTATGCAGAGAATATCGAAACGAATGCCTTAAGGAGCAAAGTGGAAACTCGAAATCGATAACGGTGCAAGGAGTTACGAGAGGCTTAACGATATAGCAATTTGCTATTCGCAGAAATGCGAGGCAAAGTGATCACGCGATTTTCGAAGATCCAGGAAAAACTGTGATAAAACGTGAGGAGAAAGAGTGTGTTTCCAGGTGAAACTTCCTGAAAGAAGGTATAAGAAGGCTAAGGAAGAACCGTGTCATCGATGGTATGCAAACGTAAGCAAAAGAAGGACGAAGGGAAATAAAAATGCATCAGCGATGCATGAAATGGAACGACGTGTCGCAGAAACCGGAAAACGATCAAATGCTCCGATGGTACACATTCTCCACTGTCACCAGGAAATAGATGAAACATACTTTTTTTCGAGGCTTTTACATTTGAAAAATTTCTACGAGTTTCTGGGGCGCATTGTGAAATATTCATAAGATTCGCTCAGCTGCATTGATATTCAAATTCCTGACACAAACATCGGTAAACATTCGATGAAATAAAATCCATATAGGTTCTTTTTTATATATTGAACACGAGGAAAGATGAAGCGTTCGAAATGGAATCTATTTCTTCACACTTTGTGCTTGGAATGTTCATCCTTTCTTTC